CAGAAAAGGAAGGATCTGGACTCACTGATTTTCTTGATAAATGAGAAATTGAAAGTTTCAAACTGGGCCAGAAAAATTTAAATATTGACAATGGTGTCACCTTCTTGGTCAATCAAGAAAACTCATGAAATTTTTAATGTTTTAGAATATATGGCTCATCAGGCCAGGAAATTAGCTGCGGAGAAAGGAATTATGGAGTTACCAGAAAGGAAACGAGGGTAAACAGTGTTGAAAGAAACTGAAAAAATGATTACAGCATCCTGATATGACGATGAGTATAGTCGACAGATGCCGGGCAAAATGGACTTTGTAAGCCTTTGGAGGAATGTCCATATGCAAAAACGACTTCTTCTATGTGGTTGGTTGAGAGTTTTACGAGGCATTTAAAGAAGAAAATCCCAATTTAAACATAGAATGTTTGAAATTTTGTAATCTCAGCCCAAAATGGTGTGTACTTGTCAGCTCTTCTGGGACACATCAGAACATTGCTTTGATGTTGAATGCAGTCAAATTAGACAAGTCCTACCATGAACTCATCGATATGATTGTTTGTAACTGAGATAAGAAAGATTGTATGCTTCATTGGTGTGACAGATGTCCAGGTATTTGAAATCTGTGAACTTATATCGAAGAAGAACTTTCTGATAATGATGGAACTGGAAGAGGGGAAAGAGATGATTTTGACGAGGAGGAGATAGGTTGCAGTTAATTGTTGTATCGTTGTCAGTAAACAAATTTATTGACCAGCTAGTTGACAAGATAAATGATATAACAGCACAAACTTTTATTGCTAAAGCACAAACAAGGTTTCTTAAGAAATGCAAAGATGAGTTGCATGATGATGATGGATTGGATATGGGCAACTTTGCCAAAAATTACAAATTTGTGATACAAGACGAGGTGCAAAGTTATCATTGGAATCAACAATCATGCACTTTGCATCCTATCATCTTGTATCACAGAATAGGAGGTGAATTGAAGAAAGTTTCCCTCTGTTTTGTTTCAGACGACTTGACTCATGATGTAGGCTTTGTTTATAGAATCATAAGCCAAGCCATCAACTACATCAAAAAGGAGATAAATGGTAAGGTTAAGACGGAGCATTATTTTAGTGACAGTTGTGTGGGACAATATAGAAACTGAAAAAACTTCATTAATTTATGCCTTCATCAGAGTGATTTTTAAGTAAATTGTATTTGAAACTTTTTTGCCACATTGTATGGTAAATCTCCTTGTGACGGTCTTGGAGGAACAATTAAACGCTTAACTGCAAACCAAATCTTGTCAGCAAGGGAAGTTTTCGAGTTTTGCAGAGATGAAATTAAAGGGGTAATAACATTCTTTGTTTCACAAGATGAGATGATTGAGGTGGGTGAAAGAAAGATTTGAGCAAAGTAACATATTGCCTGGAACTTGTAGTTTCCACCAATTTGTACCACTAGCAAATAGCGCTATTGGTGCAAAGCGTGTTTCTTCTGATGAGGAGGTTACACTTACACTTGACCTGATTTTAGGGAAAAGCATTGACCAAATTCCTTCTGAAGAAATAAAAGAGTCCAACTTTATTCTTTGCAGTTATGATGAGAAGTACTGGGTTGGACTTGTTGATGAAGTTTAACATTGAAAATCGGGATATTCTTGTAAAATTCATGCATCCGATTTATCCAGCCAAATCCTATTTGTGGCCAAGGAGAGAGAGGATACTTGCTCTGTACCGGAAACACATATTCGTTGCACAATATATGCACCTATAACAGCAACTGGACATCAATACCATTTGCAGGAGATTGATATAAAAAAGATTGATGAGTTTCTGATAAAACAGGAGATCATTGACCAGATTTAAAGATGCTCAGACATTTCAGTCCAATAATTTGTTGGGTAGACCATTAAAACTGACTTTAAAACTTAATCAATCTTTTGTAACTCATGTAGACAATATTCAGTTTTATTATAGAATTAACCTCAATATAGTTTTAAGCACGCTTTGAAATTGAACAGTAATTATCAATATATCATGTGAAATAGAATTTAGGCATATCTACTTTATAATTCAGTCAATTTTCAGAGGACCATTACTTTGGAACAAGGAAAAGACCATCTCAGGTTTTTAATGTAGTAAACTACATGGTTTGAAGAGTATCTGCTCCAAATTTGGTGTTGATAGGTTTTGTCAAACATTGAATTCCAATAATTTCGAAAAACAGGACATGAACCATTTCATAACTTTTAAAATTCCATAGTAGGGGGTTTAAAAGGTAACTGGGGGACTGTTTTAGGATAGAAGTAAAAGCTGTTTTCATATTTGGATTCCTTATACTTGAATTAGTGGGAGGGAAAATCTTGTCCCAATTATGAATATAATTACAATGGCATAGGGTATTTGTGAAAATCCAAAATGGCCACCATGAGCAATATTTGACCAAATTTGGCTAAAATTCAAATGTTTCTCTTTCCAGAAGGAGAAAGAATTTTGCAAACAAAATTTGCAGGTATACCCATAGATAGGTACCATCAGTTAAAAAACTGGCCAATTCTAAGATGTTGGGTGTCATGCCCTCAGTGATTTGACATGGAATGACTCTGGAGAAAAACTTAAGAAGTATTCTGAAAACATTGAAAAATGAATTGTCAGACCTGAAAAAGATGTACATATCAAGTCTAAAATAAAAAAGTATAAACACAGGTTCATAAAAGAAGACTGTGATATTTTTAAAGACTTTAACCTCTTACTGGAACCAGTGGTGGTAAATTTGGCAGGTATTGGTAAAAGTGAAGAAGCTCTTGAGGCTCTTGCACTGTTATATGGAACTGACCAAACAGTAAATGTTGTTCATGGTTGTCTTCAGGGGAAGATGAACAAAGAAAAGAATAAAAACAAGTCAGCAAACACTTAGACAAAGAAAAGCTGAAGCAAGAGTGGCCCATGCTAAAGGTATGATTTCAGGCTTCTACAAACATTTACCTGCTCAGAGTCAGTGCCAGAGGGTTATACAACTGCACAAAGAAGTGATGCCGAAGTTTGCATACCTGTGTACTATAGTTCTGTGTATAGCTGTTACAAGGGTTGAGTGTGAAAGGAGTTTCAGTGCCCAAAATATAATGAAAAACAAATACAGAAACTCTAGACAATCTTTTGAATATTCAAATGAGTAATATTCAGTTATCAACTTATGATCCAGTTAGAGCAATCAGGCTATGGGTTACAAAAAAGAAAGAAGAGACAGCTTTGTCAACCATATATGTCTAGGGCTAAGAAGCCAAATGAGTGCTTCAGCTCCCATAGGAGTTTTTGAACATGTACTATATATTAGTTTAACATGTAAGTATGTTATAAGCATTTATGCAGTTCAACTTGTAAATATGTAAAAGTTTTTGAAGCTAAACAGTTAACTCTTTTAGTACAGGCTCGGTTCCTGGGACTGACCTGATAACTATTTTGTGCTTGTTATAGCTTTCATGGTATAGAACTGCAGGGCAGTACTTTAAGAAAGAATGGTTTTTCCTACCTTTAGACAGAAGACTACCTCTATGTGGCAAACAATGTCAAGGTAATGATTTGTTCATGTACCTTAAGGAGAGAAAAGGTGGATTGTTTTAAATACTCATTGAAATTTTGCTTTTCAGCATTGAGTTGGATTTCGGAGAGTAAATATTCATTGATCTAAAATCTTATCTAGAGCTCTGTTATTCTTACAGGTATTGTTCTCCAAAGCTTCACTAAAGTTCTTCAAAGAATATTGAGTTATGAGCAAGTATCTAAATAGGACTTACCAAAACTATAAAAGAAGTATTTACTATACATGTGAAACTATATGATAAGCATACAGGTTGTGTAATTGATTGATGACAGATGTTATGTTTTCACCCCTGTGTGTGTGTTTGACAGCAAAATTTCTCATAAACAGCTGAATGAATTTTGATGAAAGTTGGTATATATTTGAACTATGACCCACTTTAGAAGAGATTAGTATTTGGAGGGTCAAGGTCACGAAAAAAAAATCCTATCTGTTAACATGGGAACTGATTTTTCACACTCTTTAACTCAGTCAAATATGATTGGATTTTGAGGAAACTTGGTGGACATATGTAAAACATTATTCCTCATTATCCTGCCAAAAATGGTCTGTGTGCTGTGATAATGATGGACATAACGTACACATTTTCATATTTTTTGAAGGCTGAATAAGGTTAATGGCTAAGGTATGTGCTCTACTGAGTTTGGCATTTACCCTTTAATAATATATTTGGTAAAGTTGCAGTAATATTTATATTTAAATATGAATTGGATAATTCTTATTATCTTATGTAGGTGATGAGTTCTGATGCATCAGAAGTTGAATTGGAAGATGCTTCCCAGCAAATTATCTACCTCATAGAGAGACTGGAGAGCAAACAAAAAGGTTAGATCAAGAGGTGTTGAACTTGGAAGATAGATAATTTTCTTATTAGTCTCTGATCTCTAACACCAAATTTGTATGCATAGTCAAAGTTTAGTATTTTGTTTTAAAGTAGTTGACTGTAAAATTGTTAAAATTCAATGTTGGATTCGTATAAAAATAATATGTTTTTTCATATGTGTCTAAGTCAATAGATCTTACGTCATGAATTTCTAGCTTGCCAAACTCACAAGGTATTGGTATCCGTCACTGGATACTTTCCGTCAGTAGGTGGAAAGGTTTTTGTGGTATTGAAATGTTTTTTGATATTATTTGTTCATGTAAACAGATTGTCCAGTGCACATTTGTTTCACAACTGTTTTATTACTACTAATAACTTAGGCTTTTGTTCAGAAAACATTATGAAATATTTTCGTTTTTTTTGTTTTTTTAACAAGAGGTAGTTATTTTAATTTGGTGAGAAAAATTCATCTCATCTTGAAATATTAATATGGTTATTTTCAACATGAACTGTTGGGCCTGGTCCTTTTCAATATGTTGAATAATGTGACTGATGTTAAATTAAGGAGTCTGAAGTTACATTTCTAGCACATGTTGAATAGAGTGACCGATGTTAAACCAAGAAGTTTGAGGTTACATATCTAGTATATTTTGAAGAGTGTGACTGATGTTTAAACCAAGAAGTCTGAGGTTACATTTCTAGTGTATATTGCATACTGTGACAAATGTTAAACCAAGAAATTTGAGGTTACATTTCTAGTATATATTGAAGAATGTGACCACTGTTAAACCAAGAAGTGTGAAGTTACATCTCGAGAATATACTGATGTTAAGTCAAAAAAGTGGCAGGTTATATTGCTTTTGGTTTTGATATGGTATATTTCAAAACTGTATTGCTGTTCTAAATTTTTGTGTAATGGAGATTGTGTATTATATCATTAACATAATTAGCAAGCCTGAATGTTGTACTTTATAAACCGGTTCTCTGTTATTTACACATTTTTTGCTCTTGGTCGTAACATGAATTCTGAATTCTTATCATGAGTAAATGGAAAAAAGAGCTGTTCCATAAATGTTAGAGAAAATACATGCAAAACATGGCTTTTCCCCCCATCTAATACATACAAGTATCACCATACTTTCTTGTGTGCTACTAAAAACCAGTTTTCTGTAACCTGGGGTTGGTAGAAGTGAAAAATTCTGCTATAAAACCAGTTTTTTGTAACCTGGGTTTGGTAGAAGTGAATAGTTCTGCTATAAATCCAGTTTTTTTGTAACCTGCGGTTGGTAGAAGTGAATAGTGCTGCTATAAAACCAGTTTTCTCTAATCTTGGATTGATAGAAGTGTTTTCTTCACTTGGTTATTTCTTTGCTGTAAAACTAGCTTTCTGTAACCTGGTGTTGGTAGAAAGAGTTTCTTTACCTAATTATTTGCTCTGCTGTAAAACTGGTTTTCTGTACTCTTGGGTTGGTAAAGTGTCTTCAACCTGATAATTAGGTTGGATGTTTGCTCTGGAAACAGCGCAGTGATGTATGGCAGTAACATAGCTATTTTGAATGTTTGCTCTGGAAACACTGCAGTGATGTATGGCAGTAACATAGCTATTTTGAATGTTTGCTCTGGAAACAGCACAGTGATGTATGGCAGTAACATAGCTATTTTGGATGTTTGCTCTGGAAACAGCACAGTGATGTATGGCAGTAACATAGCTATTTTTCACCCTGATAATTAGGTTGGATGTTTGCTCTGGAAACAGTGCAGTGATGTATGGAAGTAACATAGCTATTTTTGAATGTTTGCTCTGGAAACAGCACAGTGATGTATGGCAGTAACATAGCTATTTTGAATGTTTGCTCTGGAAACAGCACAGTGATGTATGGCAGTAACATAGCTATTTTGAATGTTTGCTCTGGAAACAGCACAGTGATGTATGGCAGTAACATAGCTATTTTGACTCACTTTCCAGTTGAAAGAGTAATGTAAGAAAACAAGATAAGGTAATTAATGTTTTGTTGTTTTAATTCTGAGAACAAATGGGTTTATTTCTTTATGCTGTGAAACAATAAGTATAGTATTCATAAAGCTTTGGTTTTTGAATATGAAAACATCAGACTAACAGCAGTTGAAATAAAATTTTATCACATTCAGAACTCTCTCTGTTAGTGTCAGTTCCAGCCATGTGTACATCTAGATGGAGGGTCGTATTTCTTATAAAACACAGACATACTTTTAGATAATAACTTTTCACTCTGTAACTGGTACTGTACTAGAATTATAGGTACTAACTCTTAGGAACTATTGTAATTAGTAGAAACATTTTAATCATACCAGTATTTTCCAACCGTGTTATTTAATCCTAAAGTCTTCTTTACTTCATCTATTTGGAATGACAGAGCAGTAAGGTCTATCAATACATAAGAAGTATTACTGCTTTGAAGGATGCCTGTTTTTTCATCAGGAGGATATATTTCTTCTTCACCATTTAATGAAGAAAGGCTGTGCCTTTCAAACAGTTTGAGCTGTTTTTAGTATTAGTTCATTCTGTTGTACTTAACTTTTTAAATACAGACATATAGCATTTATTGTATTGTAATTGCTAATTGACTTAATATGGTTTAACTAACTGAAAATTGAATGGGTGGGTTTTACCAATCAAACTATACTTGTTTTGTATACCAGAACTGAATCAAGCTAACGTCAAGATTCGACAAGCCGAGGAGCGGCTGTCATCATGTAACCGTGAGCTGCAGCAGTGTCGAGATGCCATTGATGATTACCAGAGTCAACTTGAGGGTGCAGAAGCCCAGAATGCTCTCCTCCAATGGCAAGTAAAAGACCTTGAAGGAGATGTCGCAGAAGGACGAGATAGTCTAGAGTTTCTACAAGTAGAAAGATCCACACTGACCGAGACAATACAAGAATTGGAAAACTCTCTGCAGTTAGCACGGGAGAAAATGGAACAAGACAAAGCTCACATAGGCCAGTTTATGGATCGGTGTCGACGGCTGTATGCCAAGATACAGGATAAAGGGTGTGATTTTTTGTTTGAATGCCTTTCCTACATAGATAATTTACTATCTCACTACAGCAAATAATCCCAGTTTTTCCTGTCAGATAGATATGCTTCTCTTGAATATCTCATATTTTTTCTTTTTTTAATCCATGTTATTTACACATTAAGATTACATAGGGTTTAGAGAGAAGGCTAATAAATTTATAAATCGTTTCAGAGTAATATTTTATTTGACATTTTGAAGAAACATTCAGCTGTAAGGTAGATTTCTTTATAGAGATATGATTTAGGTAACTTTAAGTGATTATTTTAGTAATGGTGGTTACTTTTTCTCAACAGACTACAAAACCAAGTGTTACAGGCCCAAATTGACGCAACTGAAGGCCGAGCTCGAGACTTGCTGCTGAGCCAAGGAGCTGAACTGAGTACAACAGCTCTTGCCCTCACCCAGCTGGGTTATCATGCACATTCTGTGTTAAACATGATGGTTGAGTATGCTGGGAAGGACTTGGGGTTAAATCAAGAGGTATGTCTTATTTTGTTTTTCAGAAGTTTGAATGCATAACCCTCACTATTCAATACGTTATAGTCATGTGTATCATACTAATTAAAAAGAAACAAGATTAAACAGAACTAAATGTGTCATGTTCCAACAATACACTTTGCTGTCACTTCCTCACAAAAATTTCAAAGATGAGGTGACTGAATTATTTACTGATTGAAGTTATACTAATAAGACCATACCAGATGGGGTGTCGAATTAGTTAAGTTGATTGATGAAGATCATCATTAAGATATTCGGTACAAATTAGTGTTTTTTTTTACTGTCTTTTGGGGAAGTTTGAACATTATATTTGAAAGTGAAAGTTTTGTAACAAGGTCAAACTTTTAATCAACATTTATAAGGAAATATACAAATTTTCCTGTAAGTGATCGAAAGAGGAATAAGAAAATTGAGTAGTGTTAATTTGTTAAGCACTTCAAACTATTGAGTAGTGTTAATTTGTTAAGCACTTTTTTAGCTACCAGTTCTATATATCTTTCTTATTATTCAACAGATTAAGAGCATTAATTTATTTTCAGTAATTATATCGCAACTAATTTTAAACTCATTTTCCGACACATCATAGTCTAGATTGAGACACCTTAGAATTTAGTAATTTTATTTTGTAAAGTTTCTTTATTGAGTACTGTTATTTTCTCACAGGAAGTATTTTATGCTTATAGTTGGTCATTTGTTCAAATTTAATTTTAAATAATTATTGCTGTGCAGTCCCAAGGGCTACTTTTAACTTATGAAAACCTACATCCATTGTATCTGGAGCTACTTTCTAGCAGTGGACAGATAGTATTTTGTTTTTAACAGTAACATATTTAGTCAGTGAATAAATGATGCTTTTCCTCTATTCAGTGCTTTCACTTACTGAGCATATATATATATATCACCTTATTTCTTGCCACCTTTGTTTCTTTGGTGTACATTGTTTCTTTAGTGAGTTCCTTTGTTCGCTGATGTACCGTGAGTTGCTTTACGTAATTCTTTCGTTCCATGATGTATGATAAATTCTTTCTCTTCAGTTTCCTTGATATAACATTAGTTTCTTTATTTAGTTCCTTTGTTCCCTCACATGTTATCTCTTTAATCAGTTCTATTGTTCCCTAATGTACCATACATTTTTTTATTCTGCTAGTTCCTTTATTTGTCATTTACGTCCTTATTCAGTTCTGTTGTTCCCTCGTGCACCATATCTTTCTTTAGCCAGCACTGTTTTTCCCCAATGTACCATGTGTTTCTTTATTCAGTTCCATTGTTCTCTGGGGTACTGTATGTTTCTTTATTCAGTTCCATTCTTCTCTGGGGTACTGTGTGTTTCTCTATTCAGTTCCATTGTTCTCTGGGGTACTGTGTGTTTCTCTATTCAGTTCCATTGTTCTCTGGGGTACTGTATATTTCTTTATTCAGTCCCATTCTTCTCTGGAGTACTGTGTGTTTCTCTATTCAGTTCCATTGTTCTCTGGGGTACTGTATGTTTCTTTATTCAGTTCCATTCTTCTCTGGGGTACTGTGTGTTTCTTTATGCAGTTCCACTGTTTCTTGTTGTATCACATTAACAAAGGAGCCTTTTACAATGGTACCTACACTGCAGGGCTATATTTATGAAGCACAATCATCAGATGGAGGAGGACTGAAAGTGGTAATATGGACTGTAACAACATTGCGAGCCTCCAAAATAGTTTTAAAATAACATTCTCAACTTCTGTGGGTGTGGCACATATTTTATTATATCATTTTGTGCCAAGCATGTTATTCTTCTATTGATTATTTTTAATTAGGTTTTGGATGAGATTATTTCTGATGCTGAAGAAACAGATTCAGATGATGCTGTTAAACGTCCAGAAGGAACAGTAAATGCAGATGTTTCTAATAATTTGGAATCGAAAATGAATAAACTGGAGAAATCATCAGACTTAAGGGGTGGAGATTCAGTAGATAATGACTCTAACATTCCCTCAGACCCAATGCAAAAGCTACGATCTGTATCTTTTGTTCAGGCAGTGATTCAAGCCTTTGAGGGAACAAAAAGTGGGTCAGATGATCATTCCTCTACCAGTTCTTCTAAAGAAACAAGTCCAAAACTTGACCGGAAAACATATCAAACTGCTGCTGGTGTTTTCAGCCACCAGGAGGAAGGTAACACAAAACTTCTGAATGGTGAAAGTGATCAGATCATTGAGGAACCCTTGTTGTCTGAGGACAGTGGAGTTCCAGATAGTAAAGTTCCTGGAAGTGCCTTCAGACCTGTAGGCCTTGCAACGCCCTTCCGTCCCAAATCAATGAAGCCTCAAGTAGCCAATCTTTACAAGCTCCAAGAAGAGGAGAATCCTGAAGAATGTAGTGCCAATAAACAACTTCAAAGCAGTTCCTTAGAAAGCATGGTGAAGAAAGTGAGCCAGCTTTTCCAGAAAATGACCAATGTGACTGAGCTCATACATGAAGGATACAAAAGTCAGCTTGCCTCAATGTCTGAGGAGAAGTAAGTTATGATTTATATATGAATAACAAACAAATGAAGCTACAGCACAATCAAATCTCAAAATTGGTGTAATGGTAAAAAAAAAAGGTTATTTCAGCCAAATTAACCATCATAATTACCTAAAAAAAAGAGTAGGAAGGTACATTAAAATGTAGAAATAGTAGGCCACTTCCTCTTGGTAAGGGGAGTGTTTATTGGTTATCTAGTTCTACTTCTTAGTAATGGGAAAGTTTAGCTTAGTGTATTATTTATCAAGGGAAGCTAAAGAAAGATATCTAAATATTCCAAGCTAAAAGTTCTTTATGTTTAATCTAACTTTTCATCTTAATTGTTTTTTATTTTGTACAATTTAATTTCAGATATAATCATGAAAGTCCAATAAATTGGTATGACTTATATAATTTAATACCATGTAATTAAAGGAAAATGATCAGTCTTTGTTTAACATTGAGTTTTTTGCATAAAAAATTAAGATAATTTTTTGTGTACTTGCCAAATGTCATTTTAAGTCAGAAGTGTTTATGATTTTTGTATCGCATCTGTTGTGTTAATACTAGCAAGACTCTAAAGGAGAAGGTTCAGTTGTTGGAAGAGCAAGAAGATCAACTTCAAAAAGAGGTAGAAGCTAAAGATGATATCCTAGAGCGGACAACAGCAAAACTGGGAGAGGTCTCGGAGCAACAAAAAAAGGAAGTGGAATCCCATCAGAAAGAATTGGATGTATGTAATGAAAAGACTGGATTGTCTTGTAAAACATCTTTAGGAGAGTTAATCCTAATTTTATGTAGACATTTTGATTAGCAAGTTGACACTTAAAGTATTGATTCAATTTCAATGAGTTTTTCCAAGTATGTTGATGTATGTTTGCATGGAAAGAATTAGCTTCAGATGTGAGGTCTTATTACATCCTTGAAGTAGTACAGATAATTATCCAAGTAAGATGGATGTTAAAGTCAGTATGAAGTTTTATAACAAGTTTTACAGAACAGGTATGAAGATTTTACAATACACTAAAAATAACAGATTATAATAAACATTAATGAACTGTGTTAAGATGAGTTTCAGATGTGAGGTCTTATTACATCCTTGAAGTAGTACAGATAATTATCCAAGTTAGATGGATGTTAAAGTCAGTATGAAGTTTTATAAAAAGTGTTACAGAACAGGTATGAAGATTTTACAATACACTAAAAATAACAGATTATAATAAACATTAATGAACTGTGTTAAGATGAGAAACAGTTACATGATAGATTCTAAAATTAATTGAAATTAGTAATTTTAGTAAACAGATGGTTATTTGTGATGTATATACAGTTCTTGCCCAAGCCCTAATTTAACATTACTCTTTTATTGAATCAGCGGCTGCAGAAACAGGTTGAGCAACTATGGGAGAAGAACTGCTGTTTGGAGGCAGTTAATGTTGAACAGTCAAGGCAAATAAAAGAAGAAATTAAGAAGACAGTTGAAACAGCACCACAACAAATGGGGATGGGGTATATGTTGAATGCTCTTACTATTTGTGACAAACTAGCTCTCAAACAAGAGGTATGATTTTTATGTACAATCACCCAAACTTCTTTTAATCAAGGTGTAAAATTTAGTGTCAAACTGAACCGTAATATTTCAAATAGATGGTAACTTATCATCAAGTCTCATGTGGGTGGTTTAATAGGTAGAGAAAATTAGCTCTATTTAGTGACTATGTTCACATTGATTATAGAAATCAAGTTTTATGGTTTGAAAAGGGTGTGTTTATAAAAGAATGTTTTAAATCATGTACAGTAAAACTTGGATGATTTAAAACAGAAGATATGATAACGTGACAGTTTCAAACTTGTTTTATTTTTCTGCAGATTTGAAAACTAAATGAGAATGAAATAATTAATAAACAGGGAAATGTTTGGAGATAAAGAAAAGTATTCATCTTTAAAGAAGCAACTGACTAGTTTTTTTTCCCCCTAATTATGTATAGTGATTAATCAGCAGATTAAAATTTTCTTCAAACTCAGATTGCTCGTTTAAAGAAAGCCTTGGAAACCAAAGAAGAGTTGCTTCATAACATGGCTGAGAAGTATGCTCGGAACAAGAAAGTTTGGGAAGAAAATTGTCAGAAGGCAGAAGTGGAAGTGCAGATGCTAGATGATGTTATATACCAGTGTGTTGATGTAAGTAATGTACATTCTTTATTGCTGAAACTTTTTAAGAGGTAAAGCTTTTTCATAATTATAAATGTTGACCGTTTTTCCCTCAGGTCCTTAATGTTTTACATACAGTTTTTTATCATGTATCTTTGAAAATATCTCTGAGATCTTATATTTTTATCTGTCTCTTCACCATCTTTCTAGTTTTGTACTTTTGCCTGTCTCTCTAGCTACTATTTATATATATTTAACCTGTCTTTCCAGGCCTTTTAGTTTTCTATTTTAATCTGTCTCGGTTTCTTTCTGCTTGTCATCAGTGTTCTTGCAGTATTTTTTTTGCATCATTAAATCTCTTCATTTGTGTTTGTAATTGATTTTTTTTACTACAAGTCTAATGTTTTACCTTCTATCTTTAGTTTTCCCATCAACATTTGTACTATATTAATTGTGCTTACATTTTTGTTCTTTTTAGTTTATAAGCCTTTTCATCAGTTTTAGTTTCTTTTTTGTTTTCAGACATATCTCCAATTTTTGATAGTTTATTAGTTGTTACATTTCTTCACCAGTAATAGTATTTTTTTTTGTAATTTTTGATCCATTTCATTCTCTTCAGACTCTACAAGGCATTCCAGAAGTAGTAAATTCCTGTGAGTCTCTCAGGAAGCTGATGGCTATTCTGAATGGTGGAGCATCCTCCCATGACTCTAGTGCCATCTCTTTAAACTCTAGCCACAGAGAGCATAATTTCTTTCAAAACAAATTAACAGTTTAAAATCACCACTGTTACTTGTCTTTCTGACCACTGCTTTTTTAATCATTATGTCTACAAAGTCAAGTTCTTTATAAAAAGAAGTGTCATGTATAGAATTTGTTTGTGATGCTATGTTATATATAATTTTTTATGAATTTATGTAGTCAGTGCCTTTTTTTTGTTTAATTATCAATAAATACATAACCAATCTCACCAGTCTCAGTAGTTTGTTATTTTTAAAAGTAGATTCTTTGTTTCTGCATAAACTTAATGTAAAATATTTTTTGTACAAGATATTATGGAGGCTCAGTATGAAATACTAACAACTTATTCTGGATTTGGATTCTTTGTTGGAAATGCATTATTGTGTGATATAAAACAACAGTCTGAGTTCTTGTTGAGTTATAGTCTAGACAATAATCTACTCCTTTACCTCATCTAGATAATGACCTCCAACTTTACCTTTGTCTATTCTTTTAATCTTGTTTAATATTTAATCTCGTCTAAATAGTAATCTACCACTTTAACTTTCTGTACTGATTACGTAGAAACAAATCTTATCATTTGTAATTGTTATTTAGATAATATTTTCTCTTAACCTCATGCATCATCAATAAACATCAGATCTTATCTTTCCTAATTGTTATTTAGTTAATATTTTCCCTTAACCTCATGCATCATCAGTAAACATCAGATCTTATTTTTCCTAATTGTTATTCAGTTAATATTTTCTGTTAACTTCATGCATCATCAATAAACATCAGATCTTATCTTTCCTAATTGTTATTCAGTTAATATTTTCCCTTAACCTAATGCATCATCAATAAACATC